AATGTGAAAATCTTGTATTAACTTAAAATTACTTAAGAACACTTACCACTAAGACCATCAAGCCATATCCTTCGCCTAGGTGTGATTATACAGTTMAAAARAAAACGCTAGTTGAATCATCGAAAATAWMGATCCTTACACATTAAATGACATCAAACCCTGACTTTTCAACCATTCCCATGAGATTCAAAAGGTAAAAGACCGGCAGCCATATTTGGAGGAAGAAACAATAGATACTAATGAGAGCGTTAGTCGAAGTTCCTCAAAGATTCCGCTGTGACGTAAAGTGCATGCAAGCAAACAACACTTAACAAAGAGAACGTTAGTTTCAACATCACAACGCATTTTGAAGGATGGAAATCTAAATGTCGATATTATATTCCGTCAACTTTTTGTCCAATCAATTCTGTAGCAAAATCTCATAGATAATCATGAAGTGTTAACTAGCCTAATTACTTACCAACACCAAACGTCCCGCTAAAAGGTATGCTTGTGAGACGCATTTGAAAAGTATGTACATCTATGTTGCTCGTTTGAAACGGTCAGCGATGGGAGGGATACTACAAGTTGCAGTTATTTCACTGCTAGTTCTCGTTTGCCATGGAAACCCGAAGGAAATCCGAAGTCGTCAGATTTCAGCTGTTGATAACTATGATGACGAGGTGTACAAAATTCTGATWAAGTTATGCAAAGGCACGTTTCATGTTCCGGTGGCGAAAAGAACAGCAACCCAAAAATCAACCATTATTCGCTACTGGAGGAACCGAGAGAGTTACTCCGTGGAAAAAGCAGACGGTTCTTTGAAGTTATTGTTTAACGGCAAACCTGTTGTAAAAAAGTCAGAGCTTAAGAGCTTAGTAACCAGCGAATTCAAGCATTGTAAAGGTATTGGTTCAAGAAAATTRAAGCACAGACTGAACCAAAGATTCTCTGGATTCAGTGAGCCCTGTGTCAATAAGATTTTATCGAAGAGTAAGTTAAATCAGATGTCAAACGCAAGGTTTAACAACAAAGTTATCATTCGACCAATTCGCGCAAGTGCAGTCCAGGTAAGAAAATGCTAAATGTATATAGTCATTTAAAATATCTTGTGAATTTCTATAATACCTTTTTGTGGCTATAAAGCCACTAAGCTACGTTGATATAAAAGATCTAACGTAATTTTTAATAGATCGCGTAATTCGTGATTCCTCGTGTTCTCTCCGAGACGTTGTCGTRATTATTGGAATATTTTGTTACATTTCCGTATTTGTAATGTGTGTCCACTTGAGCTACTCGATTGATTACGCCAATGTCTGTAGTTTGTGCGAGTGGTAATTGCAATGGGTATTCCATATATGGGAAAAACTATAATCGTACACGTACAGGGCTCACTAACAAAAGCTACCCTAAGAATTCTACACTACCTGATATTCTCAATGGAAAATGAAATAAATTAAGAAAATGGGGTCCCAATAATAATCCAAAAAATACCCCTAAATTCAAGGGGTATTCACTTGAAAAATTGGTGACAAGCAAACTGACTCCAATACCCCTTTATCGCTTTATGTTGCAATTTCTCATAATATGTATAAGAGACTAAAGCCCTTTTATTGTTAACCTGTTCCTTTAATATTGTATAGATACGACACCAAATCGATCTTATTGATTTGAGGACGAACGCTGTGAGCTTGCAAGGAAAAGTCTACAATTATGTTTTGACTATTCAGGATGTCTTCTCTAGATATATATGGCTACGACCACTTGAAAGGAAAAAGAGCTTCCATGTCGCACACAAAACAAAACACACACAAAAAAAATAAGTTGGGTATCTGTTGAAGACGTAACAGGCCTGACGAGGAAAATAGAAAGGAATAAGAAAGAAATCGCTAAGAAAAAAGCTTTACGTGAAAAAGAAAAGCAAATTTGAAAGAAGAATAAAAATACAATAGAAAGACAGAGACACAGAAGAACATTCTATATACCATTCAGAAAAGAAGACCATATTGATGAATTCTTTCTTCAAGGATATCATGTTGACTTTGATCCAATGGGCGATGGAAATTGTCAGTTTGAAGCCTTAACGCACTTATTACCTACAGTCGGAATTTATAGGTCCATAAAAACATTGCGGGAAGAAATTGTCCGGTATCTACAACAAAATCCAAACAGTGTAGACGGTGTCCCTCTGGAGATGTTTGATGGGATCCCCTGGGAGCAGTATCTCTCAGAGATGGGGAGAGATGGTACATATGGCGATCAATTGACCTTACAAGCTTTCGCGAATATYTTTAACATACAGYTAATCATAATATCATCACTTGGCCATGCAGGAAAAGTAGTAATTTCTCCCTGGAGCAACAACCCTAAAGCGCAGTTCACGCTCGGACACTTTGCTGAAACTGAAGGTACACATTATGTTCGCCTTCAACAAATGAATGGCGGAGAAATGTCAGAATATGTTATGAATACAGTGGAGATGATGATATGAATGTGGAGGATATAGATGGTGTTGAGAATACTGAAAGTGAAAAGTGAAGATGGAGATGTGAATACGCAGGATGGAGATGGAGTTGTTGATACGGAGGATGGTGATGGAGTTGTTGATACGGAGAATGGAGATGGAATTGTGGATACGGAGGATGGAGATGAACATGTGAATGTGGTGGATATAGATGGTGGTGTGAATACTCAGAGTGAAGATGGTGGTGAAATATGGAGGATGGAGATGGAGATGTGAATACGGAGGGTGGAGATGGTGGTGTGTATTTGGGGGATATACATGGTGAGAATATAGATTGTTCTGTGAATACGGAGTCTGGAGGTTGTGGTGTAAATACAGAGAGTGAAGGAAGTGATGCTTGCAAAGCGGAAATTGAATTTGTTCCGGATGGACGAGTGGAAAACGTCATCACAACAAACCCATCGGAGGTGCTCTCTGGCTTTGAAAAAATCCCAAAGGAAATTCTGGAGAAAATTT